CGCCGGCAGCCAGGACCCCCAAGCAGAGGCGAAGCCCGTCACCCCGCAGCCCCCCATGAAGCCCCGCCTGGAGCGAGCCCTGTCTCTCGATGACAAGGCCTGGAGGAGGAGGCGTTTCCCGAACAGCCAGGAGGACCTGTCGGCCGCGGAGCGGGACGGCGCCAGCCCGCGCGCGGGCTCCCCGCACCAGGCCCAGGGCCCGGCCGCCGCAGCCGCCCAGGACCACCCTGCACCCTGCCTGGGCCCGTCTTTGCAGGAGGTCCCGAAAGCCCGCAGGGCTGCGGGCAGTGAGGGAGGGAGTCCACCCGGGTGGAGTAACCGTCTCTCTGGAGTGGCCAGCACCTCCCTAGATCCCCTGCACAGGGAGGCCCTGCCAACTGGAAGCTCCCCGCTGCCCCCCGGCCTGCGGCCCCCACGCTCAGCGCCCGCGTCTGACCACCGCGCGGCCTCCGACCCTGCGAGTGCAGCAAATGACATTGACTCGGAGCACGCTGACCGCAAGCCGCGGGCCCAAAGCAAGCTGGTCCGGGCCCACAGCAGCCTGGGCACTTGCCGACCCCGGAGCCCCCTGGCCTCTGACGACCACCCGCTCCACGCCGCCCGATCCTCCTTCAGCCTCCTGGCACCCATCCGAACCAAGGACATTCGGAGCAGGTAGGGCCTGGAGGGGGGAGGGGAGCAGCACCTAGCCTTACCCCGTGACCCCTGTTCTAGGGTCACCCCATAGAGACTATCTAAGATGCACCGGCAGAGATTTAGGCAGGTCTCCCAGACACAATGTCCTTCCAGAACTTTTCCTTTGTGACTCAGCGCCATCCAGGGCACAGTGTACCTGTACAAGTGGATCACCGCGCTCACTCCTTGTGTAAGCAGATGAGACTGTACTCCAGCCCTCTTCTTGCTCCTGGAGTTTGTCTTTTTGTACTTTGTATGAGATAGCATTTGTTGTCAGTGGGACTGTTTTGTTTTGGAGTTTGAACTCAGGGCCTCTTGCTACTTCAGCATGCCTGCTTGCTAAGTTCTACTACTTCAGTGGCTGGTTATTTTGGAGATGGAGTCTAGCAGACTTCGCTGCCCCAGGCTTGGGTTTGAACTATGATCCTTAAGATCTCAACGTCTGGAGTAGCTGGGATCACAGATGTGAGCCTCCAGCACCCTGTAATGGGTGTTTTTGTCAGAGCCATGTTACCTTGAACCTGATTTTCCCCACCCCACCCCCATTTCTTGTTTTCCTTGTTCCAAGGATTGAACTCACGACCTCAGCTGCTTGCTTGCTTGCTTACTCACAGCTGGTTCTCACTTGAGCCATACCTCCATTCTCATACTGTTATTTGCTAACTGTATTCTAGGAGCCCAGGGGTGCCACTGGAAGGGCTGAGCATGCTTCTCCCATGGCCTCTGGGCACAAGCTGGCATATTATCAGGATGTTTAGCCAGGTGTAAACCTGCTCACTCATAAGGAGAGCTGCACAGGCTGGATGCCCCTGTCCTCCGCCCCCCCAGGAGATTCGGGGAGCCTCTACAGTATCCTGAGCTGCAGATGCTCCACATCCCAGATGCAGCTTGCTGAGCACTCCTCTCAGCTTCTCGTCTGGTCTCACAACCTGTGGATCGGGTCCCACACTGAGGATGTGCAGGTCCTTGTTTCCCAGCATGTCTGTAATGCTAGTAATCTATAGAAACTCACCTGATGGGAGCCTTTCTCTGCCCATGACAGCCAAGCACGGTCCTGGTGCCCGTTTCCTGAAGCCAGAGTCTGCGTTCACCTGGAGTCCCCGAGCTCATGTCTCCCCTCCCCTTCCCCCTCGAAGTCCAGTCTCATCCTGCTGGGGCTGCCCTGAGCAGCACCGGCGAGGGGCTGCCCTCAAGTGCCCACACACCAGATTTCGAGCGATCCCAGCTCTGGAGGCAGAGGTCCAGCGGCTCTGCCCCGCTGCCCAGAGCAGATGTCCTGGCAGGAGGCTGCATTACCGTGGTCATTGCACCCGGGCTCCCACCCAGAGATGCCAAAGTAATTTCCTCTGGGGAGACTGTGTCCAAAAAAGCTACATTCTGAGGTTCTGGAGCCTCCTTTCCACTTCCTGTGGCCACGGAAGATGGGCCTGTGGTTGGCTCTGCAGGTGAGCCCTCCTCACCACACCGGAAGTGAGCCCCTGGGCCCATTTAGATGTTAACAGACCAGAACCATCACCTCTGTTACACTGGTCACCATGGGGGGCCTTTTAAAGAGACTATCTGCACCGAGAAGCACTGCCACAGTTCTTGTGTGCAATTGGATTAGCTTGACCACTTAGAAAATGAGGATTGAGCCTCAGCTTCCTGCCTTGGGCATGGTGGGTGAGGCAATGCCCAGCACCTTCCTCCTCCCTGTGCTCTCCACCTGCCCAGGCTCTGGGCTTTGTAGAGCTTCCACGGCCAGGGCCTGGTGCCTCCCTGCTCTGGGAGAGCAGCCACGGCCAGCTACAGCCAAGGACGGTGGAGCCTGCTGGGCCTTAAGGCCATAAACCTGACAAGTGCTTACAACCAGAGTTCAAACCTCAGTACTAGAACGAACACACACACACACACAGATCGGTCTTGGCTGTCACCTCCCACCTGCCACCCTCCTCCTATAGTGTGTGCCATCACACCTAGCTTGGTTTTTTGGGATGGAATCTCACTAACTTCGTCCTTCGATCATCCTTCCTTCATCATCTCCACCTCTCTGGTAGCTGGATTGCAGCTGTGAGCCACTGTGCCTTACCTGTTTTCCTTTTTCTCCGTGTCATCTGTCAGCCTGATCAGTCTGTGCCTGTGGCTGTTGGAGGCTGCTGGGGTGTTGCACACAGAAGACGGGGTGTCCTCACCCTGGAGGGTGTGAAAGGCGCTGCCTAGGCTTGTCATAGGGGCGTCTGGACGGATTTCACCCTCTAGCCATCTCCTCTCGCTGTAGAGACCACTCCTGGCTCAGCAGTGCCCTCCTTTAGCCCAGGGCTGGCGCCAGGGAGGGAAGGCTTCTAGAAAGAAGTGACTGTACAGGCAACGTGGTGGAGCACACGAGAACAGCTGGCAGGATGAGGAAGCCGGACGCAGCCTCCCTCTGCCCTGGGCAGAGCCTCCCCCTGCTGGAAAGGCGGGTGGGAGGGACGCAGACCTGTAGAGTGGAGTGGGTGGCCACTGCCGCCGCCCCTGGTGGGGTCTGGAGAATGTACCTGGAGAGGGAAGCGGGGGGGTGGGGGAGAGCAGGGCCCCGCAAGCCCAGCCGCAGGCAACCATCAAAGCCATTTCTATTTAGAAATGGCTGGGAAAAAATCAGGTTGCATTCAGAGTTCAGTGCCTGTAAATAGCATTTTCTGGGCACGCAGCCATGCGTGTTGTTCCTATGGGGTCTGTTGTGGCTCTTGCACCATAGTTTCAGAGCCACACAACGCAACAGAAACCGGATGGCCTTCAGAGCTGCGCCCATGCCGCGTGTCTGTGTGGCTGGCCGGCCAGCCTTGTGGCGTATGGGGCACCTGTGTGTCCTGCGAGGCCAGCGCTGGCATCTCCAGGGCCAGACGCCCTCCTGTCCCCAGCCAGCCATGCTGGAGATGTCACAGCTGAGCGTGGGCTTGGTGTCCTGGCCAGGAGAAATCCCAGTCCAGGGCAGATGGCTCACTGGCATTCTGTGGGCATTCAGGTTGTTTCTTAGGGCTTCATAGCCCCAGGGACCACGAGTCCAGAGTCCCCATGTACCCCATCCTGAATGCAGGAGACTCTTGAGCTAGCTGAACGCTGTCATGCTAGAGCCCTTTGTCTGCTTCTGCTTTGCAGGAGCTATCTGGAGGGGAGTCTTCTGGCCAGCGGGGCCCTGCTGGGGGCAGATGAGCTGGCTAGGTACTTCCCAGACCGGAATGTGGCCCTATTTGTAGCCACCTGGAACATGCAGGGCCAGAAGGTGAGAGAGCTGGAGTGGGGCGGGCTTGGGTTCAGGGGCAGCTGCGCCTCAGGGGCGGGAACTCCTGGCCCTGGTCCAGCCCCTGCCAGCCACACTGCATGCGTGTGAGGAGGGCAGCTGGGCACCCCCTCTGGCCCCCCAGCCATACCTCCCTCCATGAGTCTCCATGAGAGACCAGTGTTGGGCATGCCCAGTGGTGTCTGCGCAGAGAGGCGGTCAGCCCAGGCTGGGGGCTACACGGCAGGGAGGAGCCACGCACGGGTGAGGAGCTGCTGGGAGACAGACTCATGCTTTGGGGAGGAAAAGAGGGAGCTGAGGGAGGCTGCATGCTGCCGGGCGCCGGCTCCTTCAGAAGAGATGCCTCATAATCGCCTCCTGGCCAGAGCAGGGACTCGCATGCTGGCCTGGGAGGCGTCTGGTGACCTCATGTGTCTCTTCTGCAGGAGCTCCCAGTGAGCCTGGACGAATTCCTGCTGCCCAGCGAGGCCGACTACACCCAGGACCTGTACGTCATCGGGGTCCAGGAAGGCTGTTCCGACAGGTAGGGTGCAGGGCACCTTGTGATTACCCCTGGGCAGCAAACCCTGGTGAGCACCACGAGGCTGGCCGGTGTCCCGAGAGCACAAGGACAAGCCGAGAGGCTGAGACCCCAGTGGGCTGTACAGGCAGCCTCCATGTCTGGTGAAATGCAAACCAGCCTCTTCATGAACAGTGGTTTGGGCCATCTAAAGCCCATGATGTTAGGGGACCAAAGGGCTCAGAGTAGAGCACCAACCTAGCAAGCCTAAGACCCCAGAAAATCAAATTCAAGTACTGCCAAAAAAGGTGAATAAATGTCTCCTCGTGCAGCCTGATGAAGCAAAATCAGGGAGCCTCCTCTGGTTGCTCCCTGGGGCCGGCCGAGGAGGAGGGGAGTGGGGCTGGGGCCGGCCGAGGAGGAGGGGAGGTGGGGCTGAAAGCCCTCGTGCCCCCAGCTGTCCTTTTTCCTCCTCCAGGCGGGAGTGGGAGACACGCCTGCAGGAGACGCTGGGCCCCCGGTACGTGTTGCTGTCCTCCGCCGCGCACGGGGTGCTGTACATGTCCCTGTTCATCCGCAGGGACCTCATCTGGTTCTGCTCGGGTAGGTGCCAGCAGCACCCATCCAACCACGTGGCGGGGGGGGAGGGGGAGAGAACACGCAGCATGCCCAGCCGGGCACGGCCCCACTGCCCACTGAGTCCCCTTGCCCCGTCACACAGAGGTGGAGTGCTCCACTGTGACCACTCGGATCGTGTCTCAGATCAAGACCAAGGGGGCCCTGGGCCTCAGCTTCACCTTCTTCGGCACCTCCTTCCTCTTCATCACCTCTCACTTCACCTGTAAGTCACTTCCCTGTGAGGGGCAGCTTCCTCTCCACCCTAGATGCATCGGAGGCCAAGGTGCCAGGCCCCGCCCCACCCCCATCCTGTCCCCACAGCCGGAGACGGAAAGGTGGCCGAGAGGCTAATGGACTACGCCAGGACCATCCAGGCCTTGGCCCTGCCCAGGACTGTACCAGACACCAACCCCTACCGCTCCAGCGCAGGTGAGGACTGTGACCTCTGCCCCACACTCTCTGGGGGCTCTGGAGAGGCAAGCTCTGCCGAGCGCAGAAAGTTTCCCACTGAGGGCTGGGAAGGTGGCTCAGTGGTAGAGCACTTGCCTTGCATGCTCAAGGCCCTGGGTTCGATTCCTCAGCACCACATAAGCAAAAAGAAAAAAGCCGGAAGTGGCGCTGTGGCTCAAGTGGTAGAGCGCTAGCCTTGAGCTGAAGAGCTGAGGGACAGCGCCCGGGCCCAGAGTTCAGGTCCCACGACCCGACCCAAAAAAGAAAGTTTCCCACTGAGACCGCCGTGCACTGGCTGGGCCCAGTTGTTCCTTGCTGACCCCTGGCTGTGCTTAGCCGGGCTGGGCAAAGGAACTGGAAAGACGTGGTCCATCCCATGCCCATCAGGACAGCTGTTGGAGGTTTGGGGGACTGCTTGGGTACCTGTGGATCACCTGCCGTGGGCTCAACTCAACCACAAAGCCTGAGCAGCGCCCCTCTGATGCTCCTGCCCATCCCTGGAGCTGCTGCCAGGCTGTGGTTCTGGGGAGTAGAGCACAGATGAGTCCCCTTTCGTGGCCTCGGACTCGCGAAGGCCAGCGCTGTTCTCTTTCCCTGTGTGCCCAGCGGATGTCACCACCCGGTTCGATGAGGTGTTCTGGTTTGGAGACTTCAACTTCCGCCTGAGCGGAGGGCGCCGGGCAGTGGAGGCCATCCTGAAGCAGGACCTGGAGGTGGACGTGCCAGCCCTGCTGCGGCATGACCAGCTCACCCGGGAGATGAAGAAAGGTGGGTGGTGCGAGGCCAGGCAGTGCGGGCTGGGCAGCCTGGGGCCAGGCAGCGCGGCTCCCCGAGCTTCTCTAACCCCCTGCGTGCTCCTTGCAGGGTCCATCTTCAAGGGCTTCCAGGAGCCCGATATCCACTTCCTCCCGTCATACAAGTTTGACATTGGGAAGGATACTTACGACAGCACCTCCAAACAGAGAACCCCCTCCTACACGGTATGGTCCCAGCACTGGTGACCGCCACCAGCCTGGGTGGCACTGACACATGACATCCAGCCAGGCAGCTGCCTTGAGGTCAGCGACTACCTGGCCAAGTGTGCGTGGGACAAGGCCCCCTCCAGGCCGCACGGCTGGCCAAGTGTGCGTGGGACAAGGCCTCTCTGGGCCACATGGCTGGGTGCAGCTCATGTCCTGCTGCTACATGGGCCCTGGCCCTGGGCCCTCATTCCATACACTCCACCCCTGGAAGGAGTGAGTGGGAAGCCCTTGCACCCAGCTGGTCTTGCTCTTACCAGCCCAGGTCTCATGCTGGGCATGGCATGGTTTAGAGACAGTGGGGCAGCCACAGAGGCAACACAGCTCCCACTGCTGCCAGAGAGCTGGGTGATCTGGGGTTGGCGGGGCCCCGGGGGCTCACCGTGCAGAGGGGGCGGCCAGCACTAGCTCTGCTCCTGCTTCACTGTCTCTTAAAGGACCGAGTCTTGTATAGAAGCCGCCACAAGGGGGACATTTGTCCCTTAAAGTACTCTTCCTGCCTTGGCATCAAGACATCTGACCACCGCCCTGTGTACGGCCTGTTCCGGGTCAAAGTGAGGCCAGGACGGGACAAGTAAGTCCCTCTGGGTGTCTTCCTGCACAGCAGTGGGCTGGAGCTTGGGCTCCAAGTGGCTCCTGTCTTGAGTGGGGTGACCCTTCCTGAGTTGGGGCACCAGCAGCCCTGTGGTCACTGTCCCATGAGCCCGCCGCTTGCAGAAGCTTGCCCTGTGACCCCGGCTGGGCCCTTTGGGAACAGGCACAGGGCTTTAGATGAGAAAGCCCTAGTTCCTGCTGGCGCTCTCCTGACGCTTCCTCCTCCACAGCATCCCACTAGCTGCCGGCAAGTTTGACCGAGAACTGTACTTGATAGGAATTAAAAGACGGATTTCAAAAGAGATGCAGAAACAGCAAGTGCTGAAGAACCAGAGCTCCAGCACTGTCTGTACTGTTTCCTGAAGTGGCTCAGTGGAGACGGTCATGGCAGCCCAGGCGAATGTCGGAGCACACAGGCCGCTGCAAAGGCAGAAGTTTGCTCTTGGGCAGCTCCTGCCCCTTTGGGAGTCCTGTCCTGCTTCCTCACAAGCAGCAGCGGTGATGGGCAGCTGGGGGCGGGGGCTGTGGCCACACCCACAGCTGTCGTGGGGCAGAAGCTGCCTGCCTCTAGCTGGGTGAGCGGTTCTCATTTGGCACGTCCCCGTTGGGCACATGGCAGCCCTTTGCCTCCAGGGGGAGCCCTTCAACCCCCACATCTGTGGACGAGTGAGGTGCCTCCCCTCATGTCCACTTGTGCCAGAAGCCTCTCCTCCGTTCACTCAACCCCCAAGCCGGAGCCTGAGTTTTTAGGTGTCCAGGGAGAACCCTCACACGGGCACACAGGCACCCGGGTCAGGGCTGGGCATCTCCTGGACACTCAGACGTAGCTGCCATGAACCCTGCCACCAGAGACCAAAGCTAGACACTTGGAGGATGTGGCCTGGCATCCCTCTGCTAGGCTACGTCTCAGGGCTCCGCCCCCCCCCCCCCCCCCCCCCCCCCCCACAGGCCAAGCCCGGCCTTGTAAAACTAGGGTTCTAGGATTGCGACCATCTGCTTTAGTGACAGCAGCCACAGAACGGGACCACACCCTAAGTCAGACAGCTCCATCCTGCTTCCCATCCCTAGAGCTTAAAACCCTCTGCTGCTCCCTTGAGTGTATTAAAACCTAGGGGATAGCCACACCAGTCTTCTAAAATTATTTATTTTTCCATATTTATATTTTTAAATAAATGTGTATATTGAATTGTGAACTTTCTAGCCCAAGGCTGAGTCTTCGAAGGAAGTATCTATCTGTATGCAGGCCCTTTTCATTCTCAAGGCTACAAAGCGCCAGTCTGCTGCTCAAGACACACGCAGGGTTAGCCAGGAGGGGCCGCTGCTCCAGACTGGCTGACCCGAATTGCGATGACTTGCAGTCCAAACAGACCCCACGTGAGACTTGCTAGCCTCTGCTTCCACAAACACGTGAACTTGAAGGCAATGGCAGCTGTGGCCAGGGCAGGTCAGCCCTCACACTACTCAGATGGCCAGACTGTGTAGTTTTGCTTGATTCCAAATAAACCGGCAGTCTGTCTGCAAAGTTTTTGTGGTGATGAGGCTTGAAATGAGAACGATTTGAAGGATTTTTCTGTCAGTCATAGGGCTTAAATTCTGGACCTCACGTGCTGTTCCTGGGCTTTTTTGTTTAAGGCTGGTGCTCCTACTATTGGTTTTTTGGGTGGGTGGCTAGCGATGACAATCACAAATTTTTTTTGGGGGGGGTCCAGTCGTGGGGCCTGAACTCTGGGCCTGGGCGCTGTCCCTCAGCTCTTCAGCTCAAGGCTAGCGCTCTACCACTTGAGCCACAGTGCACTTCCGGCTTTTTTCTTTTTGCTTATGTGGTGCTGAGGAATTGAACCCAGGGCCTCATGCATGCAAGGCAAGCGCTCTACCACTGAGCCAACTTCCCAGCCCCAACAATCACAAATTTTTACTGCTTAGGCTGTCTTCAAACCTCAAGCCTCACATCTCAGCCTCCTGAGTAGCTGGGATTACAGGTGTGAGCCACTGACACCCTTTACAGGCTGAGCCAAACCCTTCGGACACTGGAGCACCTTAGTTTCGGCTGAATCTTGGGAAGTCATTACTCACATCTGAGGAGGCCATGAATCAAAAGTGTGGTGACTGAACTTGACACTAACATTACTCACAGCATTTCAATTGGAAAGTTAAAAATTCAGGTTAATAAAAATCTAACCAGAGTGGCGCTGTGGCTCAAGCGGTAGAGCACTTGCCTTGAGCTGAAGAGCTCAGGGACAGAGTCCAAGCCCAGAGTTCAAGCCCCACAACCAAAAAAAAAAAAAAAAAAATCTAACCAGGTGTTCAAGGTGTCTTTAAAACTGAGCTCATGGTTAACTAGGTAGCATGTTCCAGAGCGAATAACCCCAGCACTCAGGATGCTGAGTGACACCACCTGGGCTATACCCAGTGCTCCAGGCTCACAAAACACAACAAAGCCTCGAAACTGGTGGACTGCACCTGTAATCCTGACTACTCAGGAGGCTGAGAACTGAGAATCACAGCTCAAAGCCAGCCCGGGCAGCAAAAGATCTGCTGGTATGGTACAGTGGTAGAGTGCCAGTCTAGCAAAAGAATATACCATTGAGCCTGGCTCGTGCTTCACACACAAGGGCTTGCCTTCCACCCCGTGGGCTTCTACTGGTTGTGGCGCACAGTGCTGTTAGACCTCCGAATCCACGGGGCAGGCAGAAGTTTTGCACATTAGTGGTTAAGGAAGGGGAGCTGGAAGCCCAGAGGGCGACAGGAAGGAGGGAGCAGCCTTGACACAGAGAGCAGGGCACAGCGGGTGCCCCAGGCAAAGAAAAGTGTAACAAGTCACTGCAGAGCAGCCCCTGGCTGGCACAGCGTCAGCTTTCAGAACACCAGGAGAGCTTCTAGAATGTGTTGAGATGGCTGGCAGGTGAAGAGGAACCCCGAGCAGCTGGCTTCAGCTGTGACTACAACTTCTTGGGGGCACCTGTCTTGCAAGGCTCTCTCCAGCGGTAGCCTCATCCCCACGTGGTAACTACTAAGTCCCAACACCTGGCTCATGCTACAGGTCTCAGGCAGACTATTCCCGTGCTCCAGCTGCAGGGGCTGGAGTGATTTCCAGCCAGTAGTCTGCCGAGACACTTCCCTTGTGGACAGTAAGACAGGTGGCAGGCTAAAACAAACTAGGAGGTACTAGGGCTGGGCCCCCATTTTTTGGGGGGGATTAGTTTTTGGGGGTCTCGGGTACAGGCCTGGGCGCTGTTCCTTAGATTTTTTTTGCTTAGGAGTAGCAACTCTACCACCAGATCCACAGCTCTACCTCTGGTTTTTGGATTGTTAGTTGCAGATCAGAGTCTTAGACTTTCCTGTCTGGGTTGGCTTTGAATCACTGAATCACGATCCTCAGATCTCATACTGGTGCCTGGAAAGTCTGGGTTTCTCAGTACTCACTACAGACAGCAGGGTGATTGCTGCCCTTAACAAACCATGCAGCACAGCTTCCCACACCATGGACTGCCATGTGCCACCAATTGGTAGGAACTGCCCCTGTGGCTTATCTAGCTTCCCCGGCCCAACCCTTGCCAGAGCTCCTGCTAAGTTCTGCAAGAGTCTGTTTGAGAACTACTCATGTTCCAGGACCACCTGCAGTGGCACACACAGGCTCAAGGCCCATCTCTCCACCGCCAAGCGTCTGACTACAGGCTATGCTGGCACCATGGGCTGACTCTGGCCTAAGGAAGCCCCCGTCCGGAGTACAGCAGCACGATGACTTCCTGAACCCAAATGCATTTCATAATGGAGGCAGACGAGGCTGAAATGCTGGACCACACAGGCAATTCTCAGGGTGCGGGCTGCTATTTAGTGGCCACTAAGGACCTTTTCCCAGGCTGTCTCTCAGCTGAGGGCGAAGGAATACTGTGGCAGAAGCCACTCTTTTCCTGGCAGGGCCTATGCTCTTGTGGCAGCACAAACAGGCCACTGGCACTCAAGCCTGTGTGCAGTGTCAGGCCGGCCCAGCCTCCAGCTCGTCCAGCAGCCGCAGGCTGGGTGTCAGGCAAGGGGGAGCACACGTCCAGCTCTAGGGGCCCAGCTCTGAGGCAGCAAAAGGTGGTTCCCACCCCAGCACCTTACGCTCTGCTTGCCTCTCCCTGGGGTGAGGGCAGTGCCTGCTCCTCAGGAAAAGCTCCATGAAGACCACATCAGCTCATTCAGGTCAACAGCCCCTGTGCATGCCGTTTATACAGCCAGACGAGACCGCCTTACACTGAGTCACACAGGCACATGTGTGGAAGCAGGCTCGCCTGCAGCCTCAGGCCCCCAGGGATAAGGAGGGGCTCTACCGGAAGAGCCGGTACGTCCTGGGCAGACGCCCATCTCTGCTGGACAGCGCAGACTGGATGTGCTCATAGGTGGGCAGGTCAGCCAGGTCTCCCAGCGCAGCCACCGCGGGCTTTCCACGCAGCATCTTGGCAGTTACCCTCTTGATGTCCTCCGGCGTCACATTGCCTGGCAAGGACAGCGAGACAGCATTGGGCCAATGCCAGCACATGTGTGTGCACCAGGGGTGGAGGGGCTGACGTGCGCTACTCTGGCCAGCCTGGGCACTGCAGAGGGCTCCACGCCCCCTGCAGCTGAGGGGTGAGGTGGGCCAGGTTGAAAGGACAGAAGCAGCTCCCAGCCCACAGCGAAGCTATCAACGGCTTTATGTTATTTTCAAATGCATCAGACAGCCATGCTTGGGGCTGTATGCCTCTAATCCTAATGTTTAGAGAGAGGATTCAGTGTTGCAGCTCAACCTGAACTATAGTCACATCCTGTCTAAAAATTAAAGCACAGTGGTTCATGCTGCGATCCCAGCTACGGAGAAGGGTGTGATCTGAGGATCACAGTTCACAGCCAGCACAGGCAGCGAAGTCTACAAAACCCTGGTCTCTAATTAACCATTAAAAATCTGTAAGTGGAGTGAGTGGTGGCTCAACTGGTAGAGCACACTTTGAGCAAAAAAGCTAAGAGGGGCTGGGAAGGTGGCTCAGTGGTAGTGCTTGCCTTGCATGCATGAGGCCCTGGGTTCGATTCCTCAGCACCACATAAGCAGAAAAAGCTGGAAGTGGTGCTGTGGTTCAAGTGGTAGAGCGCTTGCCTTGACCTGAAGAGCTGAGGGACAGCCCCCAGGCACTGACCTGAGTTCAAGACCCTCTATTAGCACAAAAGGGAGGGGAAGAAGGGAGCGGAGGAAGGGGGAGGGAGAGAAGGAGGGAGTGGAGGAGGGGGAAGGGAGAGAAAGAGGGAGCAGAGGAGAGAAGAGGAGAGGAGGAGTTGGGGAAGGGGGAAAAGAGGAAGATAAGGAAGAGAGGGAGACAGGGAGACAGGGAGAAAGAAGAAAAAGGGGCCCAGAAAGCCACCGGGTTTTCCAAAGGCTGGTGGACAGCTAGGTTTGTTTTTTGTTCTTGTAGGTCATGGGGCTTGAACTCTGGGCCTGGGCGCTGTCCCTGCCCTCTTCAGTTCAAGGCGAGCGCTCTACCTCTTGAGCCACAGCACCACTTCCGGTTTTCTAGTGGTTTATTGGAGATCAGAGTCTCATGGAGTTTTCTGCCTGGGCTGGCTTGGAGCCATGATCCTCAGATCTCAGCCTCCTGAGTAGCTAGGATTATAGGCATGAGCCACTGGTGCCCAGCTTAGGTTTGTTCTTTAGCGAAGACGAAGCCTCAGGAAACTGGACAGTTGCAATCAAGGACCGGAGCAGGCTCCTAAGGGAAGGACAGGGCGCTCCCGAGTCCCAGCAGGACCGTAGGCCCAGGAGGGCGGGCTGTAGGGAGGCCAGATCACACGCTCCAAGAAGCCAGCGCAGGCCAGGCAGGCTGTGAGTGCCCACAACCCAGCCCCCGCACCCAGGCTGCCTAGTGAACACCAGGCTTATGTATAGCGGACCCTAAGGGACTCCTGTCCATGCCCACAGTCCAATCCCACCACGCGTGGCTGCCTCACGGAGCGCGTACTCACGGATGAGCGTGCACAGCTCATGGGGCAGCTTTCTGGAATGGGTGGCCAGCACCTGCCTCCCCACGTCCTCAAAGATCACAGGCCTGGCCTCCAGGTTCATCATGAGCATGGACATCAGCTGTGTCTTGGCCCGCTCCAGCTCCACCTGAGGACACACACCTCCATGGTCACCAACAGCTAGCTCTAGTTGGCAGAGGGACTCACAGAAACATATCCCAGGGGGCTAGGAAGGTGGCTTAGTGTTAAGAGTGCTTGCCTTGCGTGAAAGAAGCTTTGGGTTCAATTCCTCAGTGCCACATAAGGAGAAAAAGCTGGGAGTGGCATTGTGGCTCAAGTGGTAGGGTTCTAGCCTTGAGCTCACGGACAGTGTCCAGGCCCAGAGTTCAGGCCCCACGACTGACAAAAAAAAAAAAGAAAGAAAGAAAGAAACATATCCCAGCAAAAAGGCCATCCACGGGCCCAAAGGTTCCAGGCACACCTGGCGTGAGGGTGCTGTGCCCCAACTCCCTGCTGCCTGGCTGCTTGCTGCAGAAGGTGAAATGCTCAGTTCTAGGCCAGGCCCCAGAGCGGACCACATAAGGAAGCCAGGAGGAAATAGTGAAGAGCAGATCTGGGTCCTTGCATACCCTGGCCAGGCGACAGCTCACCAAAGTGCCCCAGGCCTCTGGGGAATCCACCAAATGGAGCTCTGCACACACTGAGCCTCTGGCCGGG